CTTTGAGGTAATCTATCAGTCCTTTCTTGGGGAAGACTCAAAAAGGACCCCAGTCGAGATAATCCTTACTTGGGGGTGGGATCAGAAAGCGAAGCCAGTGTGAAAGTCATATTATCCCGAACGAATCTGACCAATAACTGCTGTCGGCGCTCGGCGAAACGTCTTCATATTTGTTGTAGATGGTTGTGAGGGTTGTTGAAACTCACTCTGGTTTGGACGGTCCTTCCCCGTCCTGGCGCCACTATCCTGATTAGCGCACAGCAAAGAGGTAGAAAATGTTCCAAAGCCTAAGCCTGACTAAATGACGAATGATACTGTACCTACGAAGGCCACATTCAACAACCACACCGGCGAGACGGATCCGACAGACCGGTTAATCGGTCTGTTGCTCTGGTACCGGCCCGGTGGACAAGAGATAGTATTCGAGGCACAACTACTCACAACAGAACAGAACACACTGCAAATTAATGTGAACGGCATGTCAGTCCATCATGAAGAGGTAAACCCTTCAAGTCATCTGTCTATCTTAGTCCAAACAGGTGCAGCACTGTACTTCAATGTACTTGAGAGGAACGGTTCACAGGGCAAACCTTAGTAAACAGAATTTGGTAGCGGCTTAAGTTGGCCCGCTTCTTTAGCTTGGTTCACATATTGATTCGCTCAGTCTAACATTTGTTGACTGGACCACACCGGTCACTTCAGCTGACAATCATAGTCGATACATCCTTCTATAACCACCTACGACTCACAATTCTCTGAAATGCTCAGGTTGACTGGATGGTAACCAACAAATACTCTGGTGAAGCGGTTGAAGATAAACGTTGAAGGGATGGTAACCAACAGGTGTTACGTCGAGGTAAGCACTGACTCTTGGTGCTTTCTTTAAAACCTCGGAAAATTCCTCTGACAGAGAAACTAACCCCCCTTCTGTAGCGTCGCATCCCCAGAGGAGACTTCGGTAAAGAACAAAACGAGCGTTGGAGTTGCACTAAGTAAGATCGCCAGATTTTTTCCAGCCACCTCATTCGGCTTTCAACAAGATGTGATGAGAGGTGAAACGCAGTTCAACACAGAGTTTTCGGGGTAAGACCATTTAGAGAGATTCTTAATATGAAAGGTAACTCCAGGGTGCAAAACAATCTCATCTGTTGTCTCCTCGATATCGGTCCTCCTGATGCAACAAACTATTCATAAGATTCGTTTTAGAGGGCTTGGTAAACAATCGGTAGCTTTTATTTGGCCAACGTTTCGCTTTTGACACAAAAGCTTCATCGGGTTACAAGACAAACCGGGGACCAATCAGATTACCACACTATATCCATGTTGAGTGTCAATTAACGGCTCTTGTCGGTTAGCGTGGTTGTCAAAATCTTCCTTTGGTGGATTGGGGGAGTTTCAAATTAATTCTGGTCGGGTTTGGTTCGTTTATCTTCAGGATGCTTCAATTGATGATTCACCTCGGGTGCAACTGGTATATTTTCCTTGGTCTTTGTGGGGTTGTGAGTGCTCCGACAATTTAGTTGGGGGGGGGGGGGAGGGATGAGGTAAACTGGGAATTCAGATGATCACTACTCCTCATTCTTATGACCGCCCACCAACACGTGTCAGCTCGATTGATCCAAAGACGTTCTCCACACGCTTGCCAGTTCCACGCCTTCTATTCTGTAAACACTGGGATGCTTGGCGATTTCTACCGCCTAGCCATCAGTCTCAGTGAGGTGGACCGTAGTCCTCATCTCAAAAGCCCAACAATTTCTAAATCTTTCATAAAGGAAACTACTCACAAGGTTGCCAAGTAGATCATAAGGTTGACGGAGACCCGGAGATTGCGCCTACCTGATGAGTCCCAAGAAGGGCGAAACCGGTCTTGGGCTGTCGAAGAGTTTTCAGCAACCTTGTGAGTAGTTTCCTTTATGAAAATATACTGCGATATCTCGAATATCGTGCCAACTGAATCATGAGGCGGCCTGTGTGCAGCACAATCAGCTGGATGACGTCATAAACGAGAGATTCAATTGATTCTGTCGCGAAAACCAAATTTCTAAATCTATTTTATGCCGTGTCCAGTGCGTGTTCCACAATTGCCGAGTCTTTCGGTAACGCTTGATATTCATCCGCGTCTCTCGACGGCATGTCTATTTTCTACTATGCTCTCCGACTCTGGCGTAAAGCTCACTGGCCATCTGTCCTATATAGACCTTGGTGCAGTCGTTGCACTTAATTTTGTAGATACAGTCCCTGGTTCTGTTTGCCGGGAGGCGATCTTTCAGATGTACCAGTGCCAAGCGTAGAGTGCTTCCCCTCTGGAAAGCTACTCTTATGTTGGCCGTGTTTAGAATTCATCGAATGACCTCCGAAGTCCCTAGTTTAAAGGGAATAACGGCAGTCCCGATCCATTCCCTGTTGAGTTTGTTGAAAACTCGTCGACAACCCACTACCAGTTTTGCCCTTCTTGGATTCATCAGAAGGAAGCAGCTCCCGGGCTATCATCAACCTCGTTTTCCACTACAACATCAGATTGTACGCGAGTGGTGAAATACACTCATTCAGAAATAACATTCCTGTGTTAAAGAGAATGCACCGGCTACGGTACTCTTCAAGTGAATGCGCTGTCTACAATGTGCCTGATGTCTTGGTTGGCGTTATATATTCGACGTATCGTAGTTTATTTCCTTGAAAGAACACAACTCATACGGTCCATAGTCCTATTTTTCACTGTGATTAAGGGTTCCAACCAGCCGCCACCTTGAGTAATTTAGGCGCGCCAGAATAGGATGACCGAACAGGCGAACACGGTTACAGAACAATTTAGGCTTATTCGGTAAGGGAATGGGTTGGACTATTCAATTGGAGTTGAAGCTTTGATTAGACATTGGTGTCTTCTTACTCATCTTGTCACTTGATATCAGTCTAGCGGCGTCCACAGTAAATTGATCTATTCTCCATTCAAAGTTGACCAACCGGATGGCTGTAGTTCTGAGAGGCTACGCAAGGACTCATGGCTCTGTTTTTAGGCAAACCCAGTGATATATTGAATCACGTTCAGATTTGTCTGAATACGAAAGGAGTCAACTGGAATTTTACGTACGTCAGTAGTTTTAATACCTGTGAAGGAAATGTGTTTGACGATGTCAGTGCATAAAACTCAAAGGCCTGAACCACGTTTGCTCATTTGCTTCACTTATGGCGTAACTGAGGTATACCGCTGGGCCTGAAGAGTCGCGTGTACCAATCTACAGTGAGGGCTGTGTTGTTGTATGTTCACAAGACATGACCTCTGGGGAGAAATGATGTGAGGCGTCTTCAGGTTTTTGACCACCGACGCCTCAGGAAAGTTGCTAGTGTCGGATGGTGTCAACGAGCTCGTAAACAGGTAATTAGCAAATGAGTAGTCGGCTGTGCTGCAGGTACTTCAGTCGCGAAGAATACGCAGCGCCTTCGACTGCAGTCGCTCCGCCTTGTACCACACATGCAAAAACATCATCTACCGAGACAAGTCTTTTTCTCCTTACCTCCTTAAGAATGGTGCAAACCACGGGGTGGACAACGTATGACTTTACAGATGTGAAAGAAAAAATGAAGGGTTTAGACGCCGTTCGAATCCCGGGATGGGGTCCATGGGACTCCCTACGCTTGGCTGAAAACGTTGCGACTGATCGATGTCAGTGATGTTTCTGCTGTCAGGTTGTCTGACTGGGCACCTGTAGGTGTAGGCACTTCAGAAAGCTTGCGATGGGCTAGCACCAAGCCTGTCATTCATCCACTCTTCCTCTACTTTTCGTTTTAGGTCTTGAACATGGTTAGATAAACTGTGTTTGTACGGCAGTGAAGCATCAATGACAACACTGATGTAATTGTCCCTGATGATACTAGTGATGACGATGACACGTGACACCGAATAGTGTGAGAAACCCAATGAATTTTTGTAGTTATCCCAAGAGACGCTGAAAAACGCTTTCAGTTGTTATCATTTCTTGAATAGTTACCAGATCAATACCAGGTTTTGCTGTACTCGCGTCTCCAGAAGCTGTATGCTGTGTAGGAACTATGGATGTAACAAACATGTGGACTTGGAATGTCACGGGACTGTGGCCATCCTATGTGAACCTAATGAAATCAACCAAAATAGGGTCAAAGTATCATTAGAATATAAACCCACAGAATCATCAACAGTTCGCCAAAGCTACGTGCACAGTTCATGTGCAGCTATGAATGAAGAACACTGTTTACGATTAATCCCGAGTTGGCCAACCCTAATTCAACGTCCTTTATGGCCATCTGCTCAACGGTTGTGCAGACTTCAAGTAGCGTATATTTAGCTGTTTCCTAGTGATTAACGCTGCGAGGTACAGATATCCACAATGCGTTTTAGAGAGTATAAGGCTCAATGAAGTCAGAGTTTGTCTTATCACAGAAGATGCAAACGAAATGGATATCCAAAAGGACTTGTTACGCAGTGTGACGCCGATTAGGGAAATTATGCCAGCTTCAGGTTTCTGTCAAAGAAGACAGGGATGCCTGTAGATGCAGGGAGGATGTGATTAAGCTGAAAGATGATGAACATATTTAGCAAACGATGTCACTGAGTCAAAGTCGAAGGAATCGAGGTTCCGTTTTTACCTGATCTATCAAAGTGGATAAGGACAATTCAGTTAATTAAAGCAACTGACGTTTAACACATTAAAACTTCAATGTCTGTCCCAACAATATTGATCGCTTTTGGTCACGCTCTTCGAATCCACTGCTCAACTAGCAAGGAACAAGGAGTTCCTACTCAAATCAAAATGCACAATGTTCCTCCTCTGGAACCAGTAGCGAGAATCTAATTTGCTACCCAGAAAAGGGTACAACAACTTGCACGCCGTCAACCATTAGGAGAACCATTTCAGACCCGTCTCATCAGCGGCCACTGTGGGAAGGTTCTGTCCTACCTCAATGAAAACAACAAGTCCCAAAGTACATCTGTGTTTACTTGGATAATTTTGCTATCAGGTTGATACAAAACACAGTTAAAATCTATGTACAATGGACTCGAAGTACCTCCGAGTGTCGGTTCCGTGTTAGACAGAAGACACTGTCAGTTGACCAGTCCGCTCAAACGCAGTGAGAAGTGACCGAGAATCGACCACTTTTACGTATATCTGTAAAAAAAGGTGAGAGGGTAGACAGTGCGAATCAATCAACGTCCGTCATCCATATATATAGATAGTTCAAAGCAGCGTTACCTATGGGAAATTGTGGGATGAGATCAGATGGTGCAGCTAAGTGACGGTGACAACGAAAGGCAGGTACCAAACGCCGTCGAAACTAACAACAAGTGAAAATAGGATGGGAAGCAACAATATTAGCTAATTGATGCAAAGGTAGACATTATCAACAAATACATCTTAGGTGGTGAGAGATTCTACTGTCCGACGAACATGACGGTTCCACCAAGTGTTGTTATGACAACGGAACAGGCCGCGAATCAAGAGGGCGATATCCAGTGGTGAAAAAAAAAGACAAACGTTACCATCCAAGGTAGTGGAATCTACAGTCAGGTGTGTTAGGCCGGGTTCTCGTAGTGGCGGACGTCTGGACCTCCAAGCAAAAGAGTGAGGCTTTTTGGTTTAATTTTTACGTCAACCAAACTGCTGAGAACTGTGTAACTTTAGCATGAATCCGGAACGAGCTACAGGGTATTACGTCTCTACTCTTTTGAGTGCTTTCCATATATGTATATTTTTGAAAGCATTTTACTGACCTGGCGCAAATAGGCGTCCGATTCACCTTCCTGGTTTGTCCTGTGAGAGACTTTGGTCGTCACTCGGCGTGATACCCAGTCACCAAGCACGGAAACCGAAGCAAGCTTGGGTGAGAAACGGGAGAAAAAACATGGTTTCCGGAAAGCAATCAATCACGGCCAAAGTATGCATCTTACCAAGCTTATAAAGCTACGCTACAGATTGTTGTAGTCACATCAGAGTCAAAGGAACAGATGAGATGGTGACACCTCTCTGCCAAAACATGCGTATAAGTAGCAGTGGTGATTGCTCAGTCAAACGAGAATTCAACAGATTTCTGGCAGTGCATTTCGCTCGACCTGGTCGCCAGTCATACTACAATTGGATGACGGTCTTCAAGGCGTAAACCAACGAGTAAATTAAAGGAAGCTTCAATCGATCGCTCCACTAAAGTCAGTGGGTGCACCAACAACAAACGCCAACAAACGCACCCGCCATTTGTCTGCTTGAAAGCCTGAAAAATGAACTGACTATCTAAGTCTGAGCGTACGAAGATCCGACAAGTTGGGCCTAGCTACCTACCACACTTTTGCAACCGTTCGATCCGAAGACCGTGTGATATAAACACGGACATCTGTCACCGCATCTAACGAATTCGACCATCAGACTCATGTACCGATGAAACGTGCAGCTAGGTGGGACGACGAAGAATCACAAAGTAACCTAAATTAAAGTGATGGACTAAGATGCACCAAAGATAGGCGATGGTGTCCATAAAGAATCACGATCAGCTGGACTTTACAAGATCACAGCCTGTCTTCCATGAAGATGCCCAGTTGAGTCAAGTGAATGGGTATAATTTCAAATCTCCGTACGGATATATTCCATTAGTGGATGTGTGCAAAACAGTACCGAGTATTAACTAGTTCGCCTGTGTATTCGTATCTCCACGCATCTAAAACCCCTCACATTTGAAGGTATCGCTGAAACGCTTAAAACTGTCGCACCACCAGATATGATCTGAAATCAGCCCTCATAAGACCTATGTGGTTTCATATGTCTTCAATACGAACTGGATAAAAATAGCAACCCGATGGAAATAGAGAAAGATCACGAGTTCCTCAGCGGAGCACAACTGAATTTCCACAAGAAGAGGAAATTCAAGTTTTCCCATGATAGAAATGAGTGCGGGACATTAAAATTCCTGCCCGAAACACTTGAATGAAACGTAATCAACCTTTCAAAAACTTTAGTCTGGTTGAGTTTAGTTTGATGAGAGTAACACAAAAGAGAACCGAAAGTGAATATATGAAAGTTCGTGACGTAACAATACTTGAACAATGCTCAGATAAAAAGTACGCACTCTCAAGCACATTCGCACATTTCCGGTAATCTTTTCAACCAGACATCAGATCCATTACACAGCACGTGGAACAACAAGGCAACAGTTGGGCGCAATGGAAGACAAACAGTTTCAGGAGATACTTGGTCCAAGTCATGCAAATTTTACCCTCCAGATTCAGTTTTCGAAACAGTGATTTACTTTTCGGGTGATTAGCGGCCATTATCCTAAAATTTGACACTTGCAGGCTGGAAGTGAACAGCTTTATTGCCAAAAGTGTGGGACACCTGTCTTGATGAGCCACAGTGAGGACGATCAACAAAGGGCACTTTTGCAGAGCTTTTGTAGCATTCGGGTAGGTCGACATGATCAGAGTATGCATCGCGCATGATTTCGAGTTTCGATTGTCTTCCCCAGCCAAAAGCTGGGTGGTGCAACCATGCCAGGACGGCTAGATAGGAGCAGAAGGAACACCCGTACTTCGAGAAATCATGTTACGAAGCAATATAGGGGTAAAGTAGTACTGTGGGAGCATGAGAACAGCGGTGCTTTCTTCCTCCTGAGAAGGACAGGTTAGGAAAGGTCGGTCCTAAGAACACGTTCCGGTAGTCCAATTGTGGCCTAGCAACGAAAGTTTCTGATAAATTGAATTTAAAGAACGGTACGTGATACTATAGCTTATGGTCTAATCATGTACGCTAGTCAGACAGAGTGAGATTTCAAGCAATCCTCAGGATGCTTCGGGAGTGCTCCCAAGACGACGGCAAAATCTCCAGACGGCGGATTCAGCTGCTACAGGACGAGAGAACGAAGCTTGCATTTGGGACCGCTGATAGCTTAAGTTATGAACAACACAAAAGGTGACTTGTAGATGGTGAGCGTTACATCTCATCCAGCCAGTTTTTAGTTCGCTTTCAGATCCACCATGAGATATGTCACTTCAAACAAAAGTCGAGCAAAAGCTAGAGGCTCCACTCACTTACGAGTGATTAAAGAATCCGTACGTGAATAACCAACGGTGGGATTTTTAATTTTCGAACAGTGTTGGAAACAGAAAGCTTGTGGCCTTGAATAGTCGAACACGGTCCAGGTCAGTGGAGCCACAGCAACCATAAGATGGTCGGATCTCTGTCTTAATAAGTGATGTCAATACAGTGAAGATTTCCGGTGAACAAGTGTCGATTTCACTTCCGTCAAACATCCAAATAACAGAAGGCTTGGTTGAAATAAGGTGAAAATTTGGGCATTACGTCCGAATCTAGTGCCAGTAAATCAGCAGATGCACTAAAGGAATTAATACGCATTTCCGGATAAACGGAACTGGCTTACTTGGATAGGGGCACTGTGAGAGACTTCAGTGATGTCTTCTGGGACGACTTCGACAACCGCTCGGAGCATCTCGTACTCGGCAAGCTGGAAGGCTGGAGTGTATATCAACCTGAAACAGCAGGTGGAATGGTTTAGGCAGAAAAACCATTCTCGAGTAAATAAACGTGATAAACATGAGATTCACAAGATGTAGCCTTGACCAATCAAAGCAAACTTCTTACAGAAGGGGATGATTTCGTCACAAGGAGAACAAAAACCGGGAAATTCAATTTCAAGTGTACCTGAGAGGCCACGATGGTTGATAACGGGACCAGAATCGACACAGATCATCCAGAATTCGATCGAACCCCTCAGTACAGCATTGCCAGTTTGAACTGATCTCCAAGATGGATAACTACGAGGGAGAATTTGAGGGTAAGAGGAATGTCACGTTTGAGTAATGGCTACACAAATCAGGTTCAAAGAATCCCTTCTCCAGAGGAGAACAAAAGGTTTCTAGCCGGAGAATAATGAATATGTGAGCAATGGGTAAACTTGGAGGTCATGAATAAGACGTTTTTCAATGTGTGTATAAGAAGCCGCTACTCAAATCAGCCAGTCAACGCCAGATCACGTGGTGCAAAATGCGTGTTCCTAGGATACAAGGTGCCATATTCTGCCTAAATGCAAGCTGGACATTACAACCAGTCAGATGATATCGTCCAGCTTTTACCGGAAAGGTCGTGAGATGAATATTGGAGATGAGTAGAAACAAGGACGGGGCAGCTTCACAGTGCTCCTTGACCTTCCAGTCCGTGGCCGTCTAACACGGTTGCAATCATCATGACTAACAGCAACGCTGGTGTGAGAAAAATCGTGCTTAGCAGTCATACACTCAACTCCATAATCAAGATAAGAAGGGGGAAGAGCCTTCTCAAAACACTGTAAGCAGTCACTCAGACAATCTGTGTAGAAACCGACGATGCGAACTCCTGTGGTATCGATCTTGCAATGTCTCCGGTCAAGCACTGGAGACCCCTGAGGGCTCCGACCCGGAAAACGGAGAGTACCCAGATTTTTCGTGATCCCCTTAATTTCCTTCTGCCATGTCAAACGCTGCTCACTGTCTGGTTTTTGTAGAAAATAGACACACTAAAACACACACCACTTTCACTGCATGATGTACACAGATTCGGAAACTAAAGTGTCTTGTTTGTGCTTCTGTTTTAACCTATACCACTACGAACCTTTCGAGCTACACTGCGGGTCACAAAATCGCCCACTGAATATATTAAGTAGTGTGTGACTTAAATTTCCACATTCAGTGCAGATTCGCTCATCATCCTCCGGTTAGTGATCGCGAAGGCTTTGGGAAACCCGGAATGGTTCAGACAGTTCGTTTATCAGGTCCACTGAGAAGACCATAAACGAGAGATTCATCTGGGTTCCAGGTGAGTCTCCCGTCGGGACCATATTGCTGTGCAAATGAGTGTATTTCGAGATTGTGGGTGATTGAGGAATCACATCGCTCTCGTTTGAAAAAGTGGTCCTCCTGTGCTGACATAGTGATTCCGGTGAGTCCACACCAAAAGGGGGGAATCACTGGACTCGAGTTTCGCTCTTATTGGAGCTCATCAGCAGTGCATATCCTATGACCGTGCCGGGGTTTGAACTCCGGACATCTGACATGCAAGGTGAACGTGTCATCATCAATCCTAAGGCGCACATTGAACGCATCTGAAACTCCACATGCGAACAGGCGACTCTGCCCACGTTTGAGCGATGTGATTGGTATCCTAGGGTAATTACGCCAATACAGGAAGATGACTGTTCAAGTGAAAGTGATGTGAGTGCGAACACCACATATCCCGCCACCACCCACAACGAAATCAAAAGTTAGCCAGTGGGTCTGGAGCGTCTGTGGCGCTACCTGAATTCGAAGTCCTGACACGTGGGTCAATCGATCGTCACAACCATGAGAATTACTGGGTCGTCTATATTACTCACAAGGTCGATGAAAACTCCGCACAGACCACCACCGGTTTCGCCCTTCTTGACGTTTACGTGGTGGGTCTAGGCTTCAAAATCTCAATCAGATTTATTTCCTACTTGAATACCAAATGATATATATGTTGCAATACATACCCACTCGGTAGTTAAGTTGGCGGATGGGACCGAATCTTAGTTTAATCGCTCGTTTATAGCGAAGCACGAACTGAGGAGGCCTTTGCGCATTGGAAGAAATTGAGGTCAATTTCATACGAGTCTCACGTCAATACCAGATCAGTGTTTTGTTGCGCGTTGNGTCAATTTCATACGAGTCTCACGTCAATACCAGATCAGTGTTTCGTTGCGCGTTGGGTATGTTTCCCTGCTGAACCACGTGTGTGCACTTAACTTCCATTCCCACAACAGTGGTTAACATGCAATCCAAGCGAGCACACAAGTGAACATTTGTGCAGACAGAGTTTACAGCGTCTTAACAGGTGACCATAGCTAAGGCTGTCTGAGATTGGTGATTTACTAAACCATCGGTATCCTGTGGTCCAGCTGACAATCCGAAAAAGTAGTCCAGTGTGTACTTTTGAAGTTTAGACAAAATCAATTTGCCACCCAGGTGGCTCACAGATGCTCAGTTCTCAGTAAATTTCTGCGAGCAAGCCAACTGAATGCCATTAGAAACTCAAAAAAAATGATTTGGGCATCTTAGTGCTACTGTCCGACTATCTGATCCCGAATAACTCGCTGGTTGCTTGGGATGACATTTTTCGTGGCTGTGGAATTCATGGCAGAGGGGCATGAAATCCAGATAAAAGAATGATCAAGTGCCTCAACCTAGGACTTTGACATAAACGCCCAATTGCGGCTCTAGGCGTCAGAATTTGGTTATGTTTTAACGGCCTTTTCTGCGACGCTCATGATAGAAGAAGAGGGAAAACAAACAGGTTGTCATGAATTTTAGTTATCAAGCGAGGTCGACTGATCACTTGGCTTGATGGTCTTGGTCTTAGCCTGGATCGAGACCCAGGGACTCAACTCATTGATGATGAATGACACTAGCAGATACCTCAATCACGCAGTCAGTGGAGCTCCTGCACCAAAGCTTTCTTCTTCAGTATTTAGCTGCCTCCGTTCCCTCAGAGCGATATACAAGGCAAACTAACGGATCACGCCATCGCCTCCAGTGCTTGGCTGTATCTCCCACACTCTCATATTTTCCGGTGATTGAAACTGAGCCAGTTGGGTACACTTGGTGCATCGTTTACAACTGGTAAACTGAACTGCTCTACCAAATTCCGTAGAAAGGAAGTATGGTAGAATGATCTACCAACCGTACAATTCGTACGCATACCATACGTTATGAAAAAGTTGCCGTCTTCTGTAGTGATCAGGCAAAATGCAGTCTACCGGGTAGGTCTACGAACCCTGGATGTGCATATTGCCGAAAGTTGAAACCGGCGGGACGACACAACAACCCGAAATGACGGCACCAGGCGGACCCAATTTTAAAACAGACTAGCTACCGGTGGATAAAAATCGCCACCGGTGCTGTCCGCCTCCCTATCACATGGTGACTGTCAGGTGGTATTTCAGTCTTTGATGACAAAAAATAAAAGTGCACCAGAAGCGAGAGAAAAAGCGACTAACTACACAAGTTCCCGAAGAAGATAGGCTGAAGTGGACATCAAAGAAAACAGAACTTGATCACCTGTTCTTTTTCGGCTAGTCGGACGAGAACGACATGAAATTCCCATTTGTATAACCCGGAAAATCCACGGATAGGATAACCATTGGAAGAAATTCCCACACTCGATCCCGACGTGACGTCTCTCCCCAACAAACTTTGCAAATTATGTCTCCACTAGGTTGTATATTACAAACTGGAATTGACGTATGTCAGTAAAATCGACTTGGACCGTTTTTCTAGCGAGCAATGACGGACAGACAAGATGGACGGGATTAATCGGAAAGAGAGTCGTTTAGTAGCCTGGTGAAAACCTTTGGTTGGATGGTATGTTCCAAACAGGCAGTGTAGGTTCTACCAAGGTCCAGACACCAAGCAACCCTGATCCTACGTAGAACCACGCCTAGGCGAATGGCCCGATGGTCAGGAATAGCCTTGTTACCGTCTTCGCATCATCAATCTGCTTCTAAAATTCAGCGAGGGAGAATCAGTTCTAATCAACTTTCCTGAGTAGAGTGAGTTACTTCAACAACCGAATACCTGCTTGTTCTAATTCAAGGATTGTAAATTACATTCCCATGTGTTACTTCTCGTTAGAGCACTAGCTGTATGGAAAACACGAAGGCGCTGTCACATCTTCACAAGCGACAGTCGGTGTTGTGAATTTCACTGACCAATTGCACCTCGAAGCACGTGCTGGAGAATAGCTGCGCTCGCCACTGTGTCCCCTATTTGCAGATGCGTTTGTGAGCAATCCGGATAACATGTCGTGAAGACCACGAATGACCAATTGGCAACGTAACGCAGGCATGTTGATGACATCATGCGCACCAGGGACAAGCACTATCCGAAGCTGCATCAGCAATGTGCAATGGAGCTTACGCTTAAGAGAAAGATGGAACGGGCAATAGCCTTCCTAGATACCCACGGAGGTCAAACGGATCGGCTTAAGGGAGGACAGTTAGTAGTGGTAAACACACCGTTTAGGCAGCTTCATTCCGTTTAAACATTGACAACTTTGTGCGACACTTGGCCGATACAACCATAAATAAATATATGGAAGACACGTGTCGGAAAGAACTCCACTTTGTAAGTGAACAGTTTGTTTGGAGCGACTTACTAAAGGAGATCACGTAAGCTGACAAAACCCCATTGAAAGATAAACAAAGCAAGCCCTTTACTTATATCTACCGCTAAAATAGAACATTACACACCTCAAACGCTGTGAGTGACACTCACAATGTTGAGCGAATCAGTGTCAGTTTGACCAGCAGAACGACTGTGGTCCAGAAACAATAAGATGGCTTCTCGACACACAGTACGTCGTCCCCTGTGTGTACGATCTCCCTTGCCCGTATGAATGGTAAGCTATGTTCACTTCTTCGCGGATTGCTGGAGTTGCAGTTGCTGTCACCTGAACTGAATGGGTATGTCTGAGGAACGAATCACGCGTAGGTCGTTGGTTATTGGACAAAAGCGATTTTCCGAGCAGTAACAAGCTTTCCCAAATGCTACGACGCAGTTCTCCGTGTAACAGTACTATCCGATACATGTATTTATACGACGTCGCGGGTGCCTGAATACCACCAATCCCACCACAACTCTCAGCCGTTTGCTATTTGCTTCTGGATTCAGTCACTAGACAAAATTTCTACGGTACCATCAAGAGCTAAATGTGGGCTAATAGGCACGCTGGAAATGTTGCTCGGGTGCGCAGCTTAACTGTTGGTCTGTTCGCCAAGCTTGGTAGTTGGATCACAAACAATTCATCATCAATCGAGATAAACATCGTCAGTGCGGGGATGAGTAGGTATGCGGGCTTGCCAATGAAGTGCACACATGATGCACGAGGTACACTGCGGTTATGTCTAAATCTGCCATGTTCGCAGCAGCATTTAAAGGCTATACGCACGTGGTACGACTAAATTAGTTATGATCTGATCTGATCCATACGTTAGACGAGAAGGGGTTACCGTAAGCGGTTATGGGAATAGGTTAGACCAACATATGTTTTACTGAGAGCCAAGGACAAAAGAGCCTAAGATGCGAGCTAAAGGTCAACTTGGATGTCCTGCAAGGGGCCAATATCGGACATTCCTAGATGCGTTGCCTCAAGACATTTCTGAATAGATTAGCAGCAGCAAAATTGATTTGATCATGAGCGCAGCACAAGTTCCGACATATGGAAAGATGCGCACTCACACACATGTTAGATCTTGTGAGGTAGCGGTCTACATCGCCAGCGGCAGCTCCATCTGCTGATGCAGCCGATAGGACTGGCCAGACAGCATGCGGTGAAAAAAGTCGGTGAATGCATATGTTGTCAACATGTGACGACCACGGTGAGGCGGCACAGTACACAATCATGGTAACCGAATGAAAATCCATATTGTTGACGTAATGGTGGTTCGGGGAGAACGATAGGGAAAACGGAACTGGTGATCTATTACCATCGATCGTATCATAATTTGATTGAATATTATTCAGCGAGAAAAGATAACGCATAGAATTGGGAAAAAACGCAAATCGAGTGCGCACACACACGTACAAAAATCGTCCAGGATAAAATGAGCAATCCTACCTGCCTCCTCTGGGTGAATGCTTGGACGTTTGGAACGACAGGGTCTTTGACAGCATATAGGGAAGCGAGAGTGAAAGGGACAAAAAGCAACCCAAGACATTAGCAACATGTAATTTGACGAATTACATTCAAGCTTTATATGCAACAGTAGTGAACAGGGTTATATTGACAGAGCTATAGTTGCATCGTTTGCGCAACGGACACACCCACCAGATCAGTAACTGGGAACGTCCCTAGCGTCATGCACGGGTAAGGACAAAGGTCGTTTAATCAGCCAATGTTGCCCAACTTAAAAAGTCGGGTTGAAAGAACAGATGAATTTATTCAAGTTTCACCGTAAAACGAGAAGAGAAAGTCTTCAAACATAAAGTGGAACAGGCCCAACCAGTAATGCACAAGTCTACGCCTGCGAGTCTGCAGCCATCACATCCTTTTCACGACCTTGAGATTTCATGGTAGAGTGGAATAACCCAGTTGAAAACCACTGAACTTGGATGTAGGGCATTAACATGCACCTAAAGCACTAGAATGACACGGTGGTCTTGTAGGATCTTCGAACTCTGTTAGGATTGGATAGCGTTTTCATGGTTGTGAAACTCGCTTCGAATGCCGCCAGATCTCTCGAGTATTTGTTGGCTGTACGTTCCCCAGGCCCTTTTTGAATAAACCTACGGCAGGTGAGGGATTTTGTGATAGTTGTACTCGTAGATGGCTAGTGATCTGCCAGGATACCGGTGAGCAGAAATGATTTATGAAGGTAACGTTGAAGGTCGCTGCGTGTTACAAGAAGATAGAGGTTTCTATTCTTCTGTTCAGTGAATCTACCCAAAGTGCATATGTATCCTGACTCAATACTTAAGATGTTCTGGATCTTTGCGTTGTCTAACCAGCTGATTCAATGTGAGTTTCTCTCACGGCCTCATACTGCTTGACGACTGATATGGATCCAGTGACTGAAGGATGAGCGATGCTATATCTTGTCTCTCATCACAGTGCTGATCAGTGGCTCACGAAAGCTTGGGTATTCAAACTACTGACTGGGTTCGAGGCTCCCCGGAGTTTCGTGAGATGCGTACTGCTGACGATTCCCAACAATCATGAAACAGCTCCAGTGCTCCTCGACTTTTCAGCATAGAGTCACTTCACCTAAAGACCGAAATCTTCATTAAAAATGCCAAAATCTCCAAGCACTACCAACACGCGATGTTATTATTAGGTACAAGTCTTGCTCGGAGGCCGCCGAAAAGCATGCTTTGTTTCAGCACAATTTTTGTAATCCAATTGAGTAAACCTCACAAATTCCGAAGAACGTCTAGACGTAACACACTACTTATAAGGTTGCTGAAAACGATGCCACACACCTGTTTATGGAGGCTATACTAGACGACTGCAGATTAATTAGACTCGACAATCCCTACCCCATTGTTTACTCAAGGGTATTAATTTTACGCTGTTAGGCTAATGTGTAATTGCAATTTAAAATTTTATCGACAAACCGACGGAGTTTTTAAGGGCTCTCCGTTTTACGCTCTAACGGGCGATGTTTTCATGTGTGAGCTTGAATTCGATCAATTAAATAACGTGATTTTGAGCACACACTTTTACTGATGATATTTTTTATCTGTGTGAAATCATTCAAAAGTTGCTACCCTCACGGAAACCTTCAAGCAAGCCTGTTCACTCCTGAAACGTAGAATGGATATTTCGCTTTGCTTCTGAGATGTCGATCTAACCAGGTTACCAACGTCTTTTTCGGGAGATCTGTATACAAAAAGCACATATGGACTTCAGCCGACAGCTAACAAACAAAATTACGCGAAGGCCACTTCGGACATACTTTTGAGTTATTAGATACTGTTCAAAAACCATATAAGCACAGACAGAAGAGGAGGGATTTCCCCATTCAAACTTGCACTGACGATGTCACCTCGAGTGTTGATGAAACGTTTGCAATCCAACTGCCAAACTCGGTGAACAGACCAACAATCGCGAAAAGTATTGACACAGCTCCTTAAAGAAGGGAGCTGGACAGACGTGCTCTGATAACCTATTAGAAGCTGAAGTGAAGCACACCGCTAGCATGCTGAGAGCTAACTGCTATCCAGACAGATTTATAACAAACCATCATCAAGAAACTAAGGCGTACTAAATCGACTGTAACGAGTTTTGTGAAGAATCCGTCCCTTTAAGTCTACCCGCTAGAGGCAACCCATTGGTAGATACAGTCCATGGTCGTATGTCCCATCATCTCGAAGGAATTTGTCGGTAGCGACACGAAGACTATGGTTTATCAGAAAACCACTGTTCATTTTCAGACTCAAGGGAAGAGGCCGGTCCACACCCAAGGTACGATTGTGTAATCTCTTTCTCACCTTTCCTAGACCAGCCAGGTTGGGCTCACGACACTTGGAGAAGGGTCAGGAAAATATCCATGCCAGAAAAACACTGCATCCATTATCACAGACAAAAGTTCGATCGCGTCACATGTCAAGTGGAAAGAAGGATTGAACATCGAACCTCACATGAGTTTTTGTGACAGGGGGCGGGGTCAGCCCTAGGGAATTTAGACGGCTTAAATCAGTAATTTCTGGGTATACCAAAGGCCAACAACTTCGGGCCACGGGTACGCAGTTGAATCTTGAGGTGGGTCAACCGTATGGTCTGTCTAACAGATGTGTTGCGCCATCGATGACCAGCGGTCACGTGTCTATTGACCACATAATGAACCCAAGAAATTTACTTCAAGTCACCTGAAAATTATCCCCTAGGTTGCCAATATAGATCCAAGGGCGTTTGTTGGCCACAATAGAACACACACAATATGGCTACGCGACTCGGCACTTAGCAGATCACTGGCCGGCGGGTCCGTGTTTCGAACTCAATCTCTGTCTCAACTTCTTTCGTCCAGGCTTGGGTAACCTGACAGCATCTCAGGCCTCGTGCTTTCCTCCCGTGGCATTGCAGCTAAAAACACCGGATAGGTGTTAGAAGACCCTAGAATCATCCTCGGCTCAACTAGACGAGGTCTAATTTTTTTATTCGCGTTTACTTCACTCACCGACTTAACACTAACCGCCGGTGCCATTGTTTTAACCACTGGATATGTGTTCACCTGAGGGCAAGAATCCGAAGATACTAGCGTTAGTCTTTTTGTGTTCTTGATCAAAAGTCACTGCATTGACAGACAGTTGCCTAGCCCAAGTACGAACCGTTGAAACCCAACCACATATAACACGGCATGCAAATAGAGAGACACTGTAATTTACTACCAGTCAGTGTTCAAGCCTGGACTAGGCTTCAAACGAATGCTCGAAGGTATTTCCATGCCTTTTGAAACACAGGTGGCTTGAGGAATTGGATCTTCATAAAATCGAGGGTTAGAATCGTCATTCTGATCTAGTAAAACAATTCACCTCCGTAAGAACTACGTACCCAAAGAGACAATCCAATATATCTCAAAAAGTGCATGTGGACACCGTTTGCATTACCTTCGTTACCGGACATCGTACGTTCGTACACAGACCCTAAACTTACAATCCTCAGAGGAAGAGGAGTTTCAGGTCTGACTTGCTGTCGAAGGAAGTATGCTGAGAAAAAGTGGAGAAAAGAGGAATCAAATGGTGTGGCACAAAGAAGAATTGAGAAATATTCCAAAATTGGAACGCGTAAACTAGTTAAGTGAATTATCTGAGAAGAAAACTAGGCGTACTGAACATGTTCACAGTGCGACACCGAAGTGACTTTCCCCTAGGACTTTGAATCTTGTATCTTATCAGGTATGAGTGTTAAACATCATAAACTTACTGTCTTTCCCAGAAAATTTGGACTCTATCGACTATGCGAATTTCACTCGAAACCAATGCTTGCCCGGAGTGAAAAAGCAGTTACAGCGTGGAATTTTGTTGTAGTAGTAGTATAAACTCCACATAAGGACTTTACTCGAATGCACCAGAATACTTCTTATCAAGATATTGCTTGAATCAGATACACTTGATGTTCTGTTTCAAAGTGGCGAAATTATTCCGTCCGCATTTCGAGGCATCCACGGACTTATCCAACTCCTCAGTGTTGAGTACGGTTCACGCGGGTGGACTAGCTCTGCCGCTTGGTTATGCCTTCTGTTGGAGGCGCTGGGGTCCCTAGGACTCGTGAATTCAGTTCGACTGTTCGACAGATGTGGGTTACATCGAGAAACGTGTAAATGTGAGCGAATCATCTGAACCGGCTGATGGGTCACACAAAGCCCAAGTGGGGTACAAACGCACGATCTCAATGAAATCGACCAGCACTGGTGGGCTGTATCAGCGCCTTCAATGCGACATGCCGTCCACTCACCACACAACCTAGTCTGATCAGGGTGATTAGATGTGAAACACCCATCCATCGACGCCTATGGTACAGAGCCTCAAAAAGCAATCTTTCTAAAATACAAAACAATTTATTTTCATAAAGGAAACTACTCATAAGGTCACTGAAAACTGTTCGATAGCCCACCCTATGATTAGTTTCTTTTGTAAAATATACTGCGCTAGCTCGAATATCTTACAAAGTGAAACAGGAGGCGGCACGTGTAGTTAATAAATGGCATAAACGAGAGATTTAGTTGAGTCTCGCGTGAAACCTAGTTGATTTGCAAATGAGTGTATTTATCCAGATAAAGCAATTTAGTTCATTCTACTCATTTTATCAAGGTAAAGGAAATACCTACGTCACGGCTGTTATTGTTTCTTTTTCTGTCTTCAGTCGCGGGTGTGCAACAAGAAGGATCATGCAGCGAGACAAAAAATAACACTTGTAGGGCGGACACTTATTGACTGTGTACAATCATCCCCTCAGGTCTGAATGAAAACCTTGTGCGCACAGTGCTGGTTGATACGCGGTACTTAGTATGGCCTCGGGACTAGGAGGTAATGTGCTGGTGCAAATTAACATCAGCCCTGAATCGCGTTCGGCCGGCTGCACGACTGTGCCTAGTGCACACAAATAGAGGATTCTGTTACAAAAGTGAGCGAATAGAGATTTTATCCGATATTTCTTCTTCCCGTGTAGTTTGTTAGTTCACTTGAAGTTACAGTGATACACTGGCACGGCTTCTGAACACATCTCGAAATGGCTGATGCAATTATTGACGCAACGGAATTGCAAGGATCAAACAAAAAGCCATCGGTTACGAAACATTTACTTGACTCTGACCATTGCGGCGACCATATCAAATTGCCTCCGAGTCTTGTTGCGCAACCCGAACTGCAAAATGCTCATGACTTCGAGTTATGGCATATCAACCAGCACTATGGGTGGCGGAGAGATGGCTCAAGTGGTTAAAGAGCAAATCTACTGATCGGAAGGTCCGTGACTGGAACCCGACCTCTGCCTCTCGACTTCTCCTGTCTAGGCTTGGGCAACCTGACAATATCCCAGCCCCCGTGCTCCCTTTAGGTGGCATGGCAGCTAGGCACCGAAAGGGTGATCATCTTTGTCTTTTTAACCAGCACTATGTGCACAGAATGTGTTACCCTGGCGTCTATCATGTGCCCAATTTTACAAAGTCTTGCAAGTGACGTTTCCATAAGATCTGCTTACTTTACGTCCGCGAAGGAAGACAGTGTAAGAAACAAAGCTCCTGAAATAAGCACAAGGGAGTTCTGTAACATTACAAAGTGTGAGGCCAACAACTTTAGGAGTATGCGATAGGAAATACAGCGGTGGTTCACATTTCTAACGAGTCCGACAAAGAAACTGTTTGAGCTACCACGGTTACCGGCAGGTGGTTTCCACAAGCATTCTCACATTAATAACCACATAATCTAGTTAAAAATGTTACAGAAAACGAAACAGCTAATTGTCCCATGCAGGTGACTGCTTTGGTGAGCCGTAATTTGAACAACCGTGTCGGTTGACGTCAAAATTCTGAGGCGACTGATTTCCAGGCTAGCTAGCTGTTTATTGCGACCAGTCAGACAGGGGAACGAAAATGGGTTTAGGTCTGAGCGGAATGTTCACTCACTTGGTAATCAATACTGAGAGGCTCGTTGTGTGCGATTTCCGCTCGATGAGTGTCATGTACCGATTGGCTGTTATATCTACCCCTAGATTCAGCCGCCTACTGGAACGTCGGAATTCAGTACACGGATATTCGTTCGTTCTCTATCCCGGAGCTGCGGTGCGGAGCCATGTCATGGTACAACTTGTCAGCAGAACTCCGAAACCGGTAGCTCTCCTATTCCCCCGTTCCTTCATATATATGGACGTTCTTTGTGGTGTTAATTGCTTTGAGACGGTCCGACTTAGTTGCAGGCTTTTGTGGAGGTCACATCTCAACACGGGATGAGAGCAGTTCGACGGCATTCAGCGCGCATCATGCTATGAAAGTTACGTGATGTCTAGTCTGTCACTTCACGATCCTACACCCATAGCATACCCAGTACACGTTTTTTGAAGAGTTGGATGCCGGTTAGACTGGAGCTTTACGAATGGGCACCACAAGGTGGTCAAAAACGCCACTCTACGTTTTTCTTAATTTCAAGGAATAACGCTAGACTTTTTACATAGTTTGGTAGATAATAAATTGACTACTGTTAATTGCATGAGTCATGGCCAGATGTTCAGTAAAGAAGGCGAACACAGCGGTAACGCCGAAAACTGATATCACTACGGGACTTCGGGCGCGTGCACGTTCCCCATAGCACCTACCAGCGAAAGCAGGCAGACTGGCCGACCCAACCAAATAACAGGTCGTGTAGGGATTCAACAGCCAATCAGAAGTCTCATTGCCCGAAGAATCTGGATGGGTCTGTTTGAGCAAATCCCCAGNGATTCAACAGCAATCAGAAGTCTCATTGCCCGAAGAATCTGGATAGGTCTGTTTGAGCAAATCCCCAGGACTGGGAAGCAGTCGAATTGCCTGTTGAATTGAAACCGGGAAGGGCGAGCGTATAGGAGGCAGAGATGAAACCGAAAGAAGATCAAGAACTTGAGTCTGAGTGAAAACAGCCCTGTAACCAAAGATACCTATGGTTGTCTGCTCTAAAAACCATGAACTCAAAAATCAGCTTGATCGCGCTAGTATGAACATCACAAGGTCAAATGGTGAATCACGTAGCTTAGAGTTAAGAGTTAATTCATCCAAATTAAGACGAAAAACATGCTGATATCTGTCAGCCATTCAACACACGTCGATGAATCTTCAGTAGACCATACGCTGTTGAGGCAACAGACCAGACAAACACACGAAGCTACGAGGTACGGGATGGGCTTTGGAAAAAAACTTCTTTCCTGGCTATCTGGGTGTTATACTGAAACCAGCATTCGGAGATCGCAACAGCCGCATAAGATTCAGATACGTACGAGGTAAAATTTGTGAGGGTAATTCTTGAACAAGTACGCATACCACCCAGAGTTGCACAATCAGAAGTGGGAATAAAAAACACAGAATAATTCACTTAGCTATGATGTGCAGTGCTGTCCAGAGGACAGATATGGGATAATGGATTCATGTGGAAAAAATAACTCCCTAAGTGGTTCGAAAAGACGCACCGAAAGACGATATCCAGATGATGACAGCCTACACAAGATCCATCTCTGATAAGAATGGATGCATTCCCCTCCCCTGCTGGAAACATCGTTCAAACTAGTGACTTAATATGGTAACAGGTGGGCTAACACCTGCGTCCAACAAAGGTAACGAGAGCTATACAAAAAATGGTCGGACGAACAAATTTTAAAGGTAGTATAAGTGAAGGTCAACGTCTAAAATACGAATAAGTACTCCAGTCCGAACGAAAATCTACCCGGTTTGGAAAATTGTGAGGTGTGTGAAATATGGGGGGCTTCATGATATAAATGAGGCACGACAATGGATTTTAAGGTACACTGTACCTGATCGATAACAGATGACCCACATCCCTCCACAGCTGGTCCACGGGCAAAGTCAGACAGATGTATTGGGTAGCTTGGAACCACTGGATAAGATCCTGGATCCAGCCAGCGATCACGAATCGAGTTCAAATGGGATGTATCCAGATGGGCTAAATGACCAGTGAGATAGGTTCCGAGGGATCTGAGATAAACGATATGAGTGACCGATGAAGATTAGTTAACGATCCACGAGGAAGGTACAATTTTGTGACAAGTTTGAAAAAAAGGTACAAGTACCCTAGCCATTGTAATGAACAGTAGGCATCTATAAAATATTCACGTCACACGGGCCAAAGAGTACTGATACTAAAGGAAAACACTAGAAAGTAAAGCACATCATCCAAAGGGCAATTGGTCTTCAACAACGTTGGCATAACCACTTTTATACAACTGGAAGGGCGCTAGGGAATGGAGGCTCCAAGTGTGCTGAAGCCCAATCCACGTGCGGCGAATACAACATACTACAGATGAAAGGAGGAAGGCCTTCGCCACGGAGTTGTTTATCAGAAAACACCAACTAAACAGTCGCAAACTATTGAACAGGGAAGCGAAACTCTCATATGCATCTTGTTTACACAAACTTAATATCCATCTTCTCCTTGAACGCGTCTTCCTGAACTTTCCTGGATATTCACTGACTGTTAATCAAATGCAAGCAAATGCTACATAGTGGCTCCAGAAATTCCGTAATCAATCTCACTTTTAAGGAGACGCGAAGCGGATTTACGAAAAATACTACTTACATGCCTCATCAGTAGTATCCACCGCTACACAGGTACTTTCTTACGCGATTTACAGCCTTCTGTTTCGTGCGAGGTGATTGAATAGTGAGGGACTTCTCCACCACCTCGAGGTGGGATGTAGAAGTTTGTGTTGTGGACCGCAGAAGATGACAGGATAGTAATTTTGCTGAGAAAAAACATATTGCATGCTATCAAGTGTGCCTGAACTTTGTTCCCATGTCATGGACTATTCACCTTTAGTAGGTTTTCATACGACTGGGCCAAAAGGACTCTGAAAGATTGGCGGTCCTCTGAAATGTGAAGTTCATGACCTAACAAGGGTAATTTACGGATGCCTCTTCCCTAGTGATGAGGTTTTTTCCCCATTAAGCATACGTCGCCATTGCTAGTCGGATGGGTTCACCAAACCGGGAAAGGCTTCAGAGGTACCGACGGTCTGTCCGTAAAGGCCACATCTATTATTCACAAAGCTGTATGGATCACACTGTTGCAGCGCACGGTTTGACCTTGACCGGGCTCATACAGCAGTCTTCAAGAACGGATTGTTCAGAAGAGGGGTTACTATCATGCGACATTCACGACAGCACTCTATGTCAGCCACAACCTGCGTATGATCTACAACGAAGGTTCTAGAAAGGCCAAGAAGCCCTACACTCAGAGGTTGTTTCAGTCGGAGGTCATCGTGAGGTTTAATATTTTTGTGCCATCAAAGTATAACAAATGGGACATTTCAACAAGATTTTCTTCATGTACTACTCATAAGTTTGCTGAAAATCCATCGACAGCCCACGACCGGTTCCACCCTTCTTGGGACTCATCAGGTAGGTGCAGTCCCCGAGTTTCAGCCAACCTTATTTTCTACTTGAAACCAAATTGCACGAAATTAGCGAATATACACTTATTTGCAAACCAATTTTATTTTGCGAGAGACTCACCTGGAACCCAGCTGATCAACTTGTTTCCGTTACAGGTGATTCAAGATTTTCTTCAATTAATTCCTCTCTAGCTACCACAGCTGAGATTCTTTACCTAGTAAACGAAATGGTCAGAATAATGTCAAACGTACAGCCGCAAAAATATAACTCACTGGCAAAGAACACAACAACAGAGAGTAACTCACGTGACGTGCAAATCATTCTTCACATCGGACCAGGACGTAGTCCTGCCAACAGTCCTCGGTTTGAATGTTCGAACTAGTTTCGGTTCTGATCCTGTGGGCTGAATGGACAATCAGAACCGGTTTTCAAGCAAAGCCAACCCTGGTGCTACTAGCCAGAATGAATGTTGTTAGAAAGGTCGTCCAGCGAGGGAAACAGTTCGTCAGAGCCTAGCGTGGTTGTAAAGAAACATTCTCGAGCATCACTTAAGCAGTTCTTTGAATCAATAATCACTAATCAAGTTCTGAAGAGCCAAGAAATATTGCATAGCTTTCCATCCTCGTTGAGGAAGTTCACTAATATGCAAGCTTTCGAAAAGAAAATAAACAGCAGTGTGATTAACTTGATCCTAGACAAAACTGAGCAGCATTTATTCGTCACCGGCGCAGACAACATCGCGTGATGCCACCGATGTACACGAGCACGAAGTAATATGCTTAGAAAGGGAAACACAACATTTACATTAACCTTCCACCTGAGACGTCGTTACTAGATCACTCAGTCAACACGTGACCACGTGATGTGAATTCGTGATTGGAGGATGGGGGCGCTTTATCCTGTCTAAGTGCAAGTGAATCACGCAGCTGTCCGGCCGCTCGTGGCCGAACGTTTGAAAGCCCAAACTAATACCGGGGAGTCACGGGTCCCTGGGGTTTCGTGAGATACGTAGCGCTGTTGATTCTCAATAAGGATGGAACAGCTGTAGAACTTTTCAACACAGCCTGGTTTCACATGCAGGATGAAATCTATTTAAAATGTCAAAATCTCCTCACATCACCACCAACATAAAATTAAAAAAAGTAGTTTCAACCGGTTTTGGCTGCGCTGGTATTGTTACATTCGGTTCGCGGGCGAAACTTGACGCGATACTTTGAGTGAATTTGGCTAATGACCAGTCGAGTTTCCCGGTAACACTAAATTAATTTGCATATGTGTGTATGAATTAAAACACGTGTTACTTTGACTCGTAGTCATATCCCTGACCAAATGAACGGAAGGTAGGTGAGTCAAACTTTGACGTAATACATTTGTTGTTAGTGCCTTGCCTAAGTAGCAGATATCAAAAAATCCGACATGTGCAAACCTGCAGGTGCCCATGACTCACGGATAATAAGGATGAAGTGAACGAAGACAAGAAGATTGGATCGGCGACTCGCAACAAGTGAACTGCAACATACACATCAAAGAACAAGATAACATCCACTGTTATTCGGTTATTGTTCTCAAGCCACCAACTCGTACCATGCATGCGCAAAAACCTACACGGACGTCCGTAGACGCTCGTAAAACTACTTGTCCGTTTTGGGAAAGGTTCTCCGAAGTGGGCCCAATCCCATAAAGAGTGAGTCCCCAACAGCACTTTTCGTTGTTTACGGTTGAGTGTGAAATTCTCTGGAAAACAGGTCCGGTCCTACTTGCCCTGTGGTAGGACGAAAGTCATCCTACGGGCCACCCCTAGCCTGCCTCACATTATTGAACGCTTAACGGGATAGTTGTTACGCAGCAGGGTGCTCAACCGTGGTTTCTAGCATAGTCCAGAGTCCAATAAAGCACTACCCAAGGCGACGGGTGTGTGTGTGTGGGGGGGGGGATGACAAGCATAACTGCGCACAATGCCAGCGCACTTTCAACTTCTGGAGGAAATCCAACACCAAATGAAGATCTAGCATAGCTGTTAATTACGTGACATACTCATTTGTTTCCCTATTCCTTAGGCTAATTCATTACCCTTCCGGTGACTGCTCAAGTTTCAAGACTGAACTATTTTATTTTATACAAAATCGACTCTATATCAACCGTTTTTCTATAGTCAATTTGTTCACATTCATTTCTGGGTTTGTTGTTGAAAATCTGCCCCACTTTGAAATGAGCAACATTTTTCCCTTTTAATTTGTCAGATAGCGCACCGTCCTTCGTGTGCCATCCCGTGTTACTAACTCGCCAAGGTTCAATCTTGCCGCAAGTCTTTGATTCTCCTCGCGATTTGCTGTTAATTTTCTATAGAACTGAGGTCTACCTATCTATACTGTCCGCTCAGGTCCAATTCAGTTTATTGTTCACTGCCCAACTGCGACTACTGAACACACGCAGGTTTCACCGTAATTATTAGTTACCGTCCGTCGGTGAATTAGACTACACGTTACCTGTCAGGACACCTAGGTCGTGCGTTAAGGCTAATTACCCAATTACTCGCTTTGAGATCACGGCCTTAGCACAGGATAGTACAATAGCTTTTCGACGGTAGACAATTTCAGCGTCAAATTGATTGGAGAACAGACACCAGAAGTAATGCAAGTCCAACGGTGTTAATGGGGTACAGTATCAGGTCACCTTGGAGGGTAAAGTTGTGCAGATGGCTGTCTAACAACGGCTGTAGTTCCTTTTATGCCAGAGAAATGAACTGACTCCAGTTAGCTGACTGCTGTTTTGGTGGAACTGTTGATCCTTTGCAAGATTCGAAATATTCAAACTACATTATTTCACGCTACTGATAAGTAGTCAGCTTCCTCCGTGGTGTCCACCATACCACTGTCTCCGTTCCATTAGCCTGTCCAACAGATTTCGATTGACGGTTTATTGCACGGACAGGTCAAAGTCTGATTCTCTCATTCGTTACTATCTGCCTTGTCACTGTTCACGCTTGCCTCCGCAGCGGAAGACTAATCAGACCTGGAGATGTACTAGGACCGACGGTGTGGGGGGTCGGTCTGTATAACATTTGTTCAAGAACCACGTGACCGAGGTCGCTCCACTTTTGACCTGCGAGTGATAGGAGTAACTGAATCGTGAGCAATACACAAGAAACACCTTAACACACTGATGTTTCGACTAAGGCAATTTCGCTGGCCCGAATATCGATTTATCCTACCAATCTGGGATCTCAGTCTCAGACATGCCTACCATCAAGCCGCGTCCCAACAATAGCATCGTACGCACTGTCTACTCCAGTCGCATTCGGGTCAAGAATCCGGAGGTGCGAATGCAGTGTTGAATACATAACACACACTGAAATAGTTTGGAGGAAATAGAGTGGATTTACTACATGAAACGGACCACTTGGGTTGACGCTTTTCAATGAACAAATGGCTAGGATTTAAAAACCACTGATATACCGAGGTAGTGTTAACTATGATGTAGTGTCACATATGTTACTAGTGGTTGAAGGAAAATCGTGAAAGGCACTTGCGTGTGCTGAGTAACGTAAGACTGTTAGGTCACAAGCTTGTGGGGTAAGGTTGGATCAGACAGATGACAAACCGACACTGTTGGACGCGCTGACGCAGACCTCATGTAAATGGGATTATGAATTCGGCACTAATTGCTGTGAAGGTGAATCCTAGTGTTCCATTTCCTTTTTTCCCACCGTTTTCTTGTGGTCTTTTACACAGATGCACCAGTAAACCCAGCCTAGCAGTTTGCTTCGTTTGATATTCGATTAGGCTTGACCTCCTTTGCAAATCGAGTGTAGTAGAATAAAACTTGGACAGTTGTCCTCTGCGATCATCAACATCATCATTTTTCTTGTGTTTACACAGATGCACCAGTAAACCCAGCCTAGCAGTTTGCTTGGTTTGATACTCGATTAGGCTTGACCTCCTTTGCTAATTAATCGTAGTAGAATAAAAATTGGACAGTTGTCCTCTGAGATCATCAACATCATCATCAGCAGCAGCAACATCATCATCATCATCAATGACAGCAACATCAGTGTTGGCACTGGTGCTTCACTGCCGTACAACCATAAGGTTTGTCTAGTTATATATATATATGTATATATATACATATATATATAATTGTATTAAAAGTCCTACAGAGAAGAGAAGAGAAAAAGAGTGGGGGAGGGAGGGGACCTAGTGCTGGCTTATGTCAAGCATACTGAGGTGCCTGCACCTCCAACCGCTCAATCAGACAATCTGGAAAGAAACTGACAGCACGAACGCCACTGACATCGATTAGCCGCCATTTCTTGCAACGTCTCCAGCCAAGCACAGA